AAATCATCGGTTCAGTGTGTGAGAACACCATTTGTCTTTTGAACAGGGTCAAACGTCCTATGTGCCCAATACACCTCCATGCCCATTCGAGCCGGTGACCTCTGCTACGACCAGGAAGAAGTGTGTGGTTCGTGGGCCTCCTTTNTTTTAGCCATCTCCACTAGGTCTGCTGTTGGTAGTTCACTAACCCGGTTATAGCCCCAGATGTTGACTTTTCGTCTTCTCATTTTAGTGGGGAAACAGCTCCGCCACGGGAAGGCAGTGAGTAGACTTCCTCAGTAGAGGCTGTTTGAGACGCTTGGTCGTATGGGAGCATTTTGCGATGTACAAGGTAAGAATGACCAACCAAGACCAACCCAAGACACTCACCCCTGGTCATACTAAGGCTTTCGGAGGTTTCTAAACAAGAAGATAAAACGACCCGCAATCACGTTAGGGTGATGTCAGGCATGAAGTAAGTAAGCCAGAATTTTCCCAAATGGAAATAATGATAAATATTGAGATGTATTGGCATGAATACGAATATCTGAAAACGAGCTTGTTCATCACCTAGTTGTTTTGTTTAAAATGTGTCAATGTCAAAATAGTTCCAGGGGAACTATTTTGACAAATACCTGGATGTCACTTTCGTGGCACAGTTACCAAATTAAATCAACGATAACGGATATCCGCTGACGCTGCTCGTCATTCGATAGTTTTAAACAGCGTGGTCTGTTTGTGAGGCAAAGTGAAAATTCATTATGTGAAAAAACTAATGCGCTGCTCCCTATCATACCCCACAGACGATTCACACAGTTATATCGTAAACTGGACCCGCTTTTACCTTCTCCGTCTCACTGCTTCATCTATCTATGTTCACACTCTATGTCCCACATTCACACCTTACCCATCTCCATGGGACGAAAGCTTGATTGATCGCGTTTCACAAGACTTCTCAAATCTGCTTACTGTTCCCCGGCAACCTACTGCCAAGTCAAATGTCATTCATGGCTGCGTTCAACATTCTTGTTCTCTATTTTCATTTGATTCGCTGTTATTGTTATCGATGCACGAGGTATTTTTCGGCAATTTTAAACTGCATATTCAACTGGATTTACTGCATACACAACGCGATCTGGCAGCCGTGTTGTAAACAAGTAGGCTAGGTCACGAAGAAAATGAACACGGTCGAATTATGGAAAACTGTAACCCAGATATTCATGTGTTCATTCAATATACACACCCATCGAAATTAAATCGATTGATGAGGGTGCGTTATTCGCATTCCTTAGAGTGAACATGCCCCTGTTACTACTACATGTAAGCACACACAAGCACACGTGTCTACTACAATCGTGAGTCAGCCATCGTAAACGACACGGTCGTGGGCTTCACACAACGCTTTCACATTCATCAAACCTGATTTCCTCTTCTCGTATTTTTTATAATCATGGCCAGAGTCAAACCTTCACAAGCTATTGCTTCTCTTAAAACGTTCTTCTCGTCATTCGTTGGAACAGTGAGGAAACCGATACTAATTAATAAGCATATCTTCGATAACTACATTCTGCCGTTATTCGGGTTTCAGTGTTTACAACTATTTTTTACCTCGCACTCCCGTGCGCTAGTTTTGGCTACTGTCTTTTGGTTACCGATTCGGTCGATCAGTGAAGAAAGTGGTAAGACAGGGGGATCGTATGATTTAGATTGGTAGAACGAGAAAGAAAAAACAACTCATGGTTGATACTTTACCCAGCCCTAGAAATATGTTCTTTATTCA